GGGGGGGGGGGGGGGGGCGTGTTGTTGTGGGGTTTTTTTCCCCCAGAGTGCTCTTTCTGAAAAGCTTGCCGTTGTTGAAGTGGAGAGTGCTCATAAGAAAATAACTTTGCAGTATTTTTCTCTCAAAAAGACAGATTTAACCCCAGAATGAGCTGGTGCCTTTCAAAACATTACCAGATACTCTTTTCTATCTATTGTGTTTCCGTGGTTAGACAACCTTAAATAGTAACTTACGCACTTGTGTGTTAAAACAGTCAAGTTTTGGAACTAATCAGTTAGAAATGGGAATACCTGAGACTCCTGACTGCTCAAAACAGAAAAATACCTCTTACAGCAACCAAAGCAACAGGAGGCTTTGTGAGCAGGAAAGGTGCTGGTTCGCTCACAGTTCCTCCAAAACCGCTGCCCCAACCTGCCTTTCTCTCAAACTTGAATTACTGTTGGTGGTTTCTAAACTAAAATTCATGGGCCCTGCCCCAGGAGTAAATGTCTGTCTCACGGGGAGTAACCACCACAGGAGGGACTGCTCTTTGGAGGCTCATACCCGTTGTATCTGGGGGAAAAACTGAAAACTTTTTAGAAGGATGTGAATGTGTTGTGTGTACTTTTCCAAAGCACAGTGATTACACTATTTAATGCTAATATTTTCTGAACACCTGAGTTTTACTCGTGTAACAGCTGTTCAGCTGCTGCTGCGTCTGCAATGGCTGGGACTCTGCGCTGGTTTAACCATTACAGTTGTGAGAACTTTATACGTGGGTAATGGGAAACCGAAGGGAAGGCAAAAAGATTGTCAAAGATCTTGGAAAAACGTTTTTTTCCTCATAAGACTAAATATGGTCCTGTGATTTAGTGCTCGTTTCTCTGTAGATCAGAAACATTTTGAGGCAGGAGTTGCCTTTTGCGGAGTGTCGGTGGGGCAGCCCCTGGTTCTGGGGCTCTGCAGGGGCTTCACTTCTCCGCTCGCTTTTAGCCCAGGGGCACTGTCAGTCTGTGCTGGGGTGATGGGCAGTGCAAGGAAGAGCCACCGATGTTTGCAATCCCGAATTCCATTCTTAGGCTGGGATGTTAGGGGAGCAGAGAGGACAAGGCTGTGCTGAGGCAGCCGTGGGAGAGGCAGAAAGGGAGCGGTGACGGGGGTAAGGGGGGCAGTAATAAGGCTACATCTCAAGCAGATGCACACTTCCCTGGTTTGGAAAATTAATTATTAATTTATTTCATTAATTTTTAGGTATCACACCCAGTGGCTGTCTGATTGCTCAGAAGTTGATTGGCCAAGTTCCAGGAGAGTAATCTTCCAAATGAGTACACCCGTTAAAGGAACAGAAAGCGTCCACCAGCGAGGTACAGAAACCGGTGTATTCAGAATTGCTATGGGATGTGGTAACGGCGTGGTTTGACTGCAATGGTACATAACCTCCCAGGTATAAAACTCCTGAAACACAAGAGCAGAGCGAGTTGGGCTGTGCTGTGTCCCCGGCAGCTGCTGTACCCGCTGCGCTGCCCCAACCGCTGGAGTCCGGCTCCGTCTGGTGGCTGAGCGGGGCGGGCGGCGGGGCCCCGGGCGGCACGGCTCCCGGTGACCACGGGATGGTGGGCACGGGCCTCGCTTGCTTCTGTCTGATGCTGATCTAGTGGAGGAATTTCAGCGTAGCCCTAAAAACCGTGCTGCTGTCCATAATGAGTCTCGTTTAGCTCAGCCCCGCAGACCTGTGCAGTCTCCCCGGTGTGTCCGTGCAAGTACCTGGAACGGGAGGGACTGGGGTGGTTCAGCCTGGAGAAGGGAAGGCTCCAGGGAGACCTTAGAGCCCCTTCCAGTCCCTAAAGGGGCTACAGGAAGGATGGGGGGGACTCTTTTATCGGGGAGTGGAGCCATAGGACGAGGGGTAACGGTCTTAAACCGAAAGAGGGAAGATTTAGATTAGATCTCGAGAATAAATTCTTTCCTGTGAGGGCGGTGAGACACTGGAACGGGTTGCCCAGAGAAGCTGTGGCTGCCCCATCCCTGGAGGGGTTCAAGGCCAGGCTGGATGGGGCTTTAGCGGGGGGTGTCCCTGCCCAGGGCAGGGGGCTGGAGCCCCATGATCTTTCATGTCCCTTCCAGCCCGAACCGCGCTTTGACCCTTCAAGCCGTTCGCCAGGTGGGTGCTCCCGCCCCGCCCCGTCCCGCCCCGTCCCGCCCCGTCCCGCCGGAGCGCCCCCTGGCGGCAGCGGGTAGGGCCCGCGCATGCGCGGGCGGCGCCCTCTCTTAGCCCCGCCTCCTCCGCGCGCGGCGGAAGTGACGCAGCGGCAGGCGCCATGGCGGAGGCGCCGTGCGGGCCGCAGCCGGAGGGTGAGGGGCGCGGCGGGGCCGGGGGAGCCGGGTTGGGCTGTGCCGCCGGTGCCGCCGCTCCATCTGTTGTTGTCCGTTGCAGACTGCCCGGGGACCAACAGCGCCCAGGCGGGCAGGGCCGCCGCCTGCCAGGGATGCCCCAACCAGAGGCTCTGCGCTACCGGCGCCGCCGCGCCCGACCCGGGTGAGCGAGGCCCTGAGGGGACGGGCGCTGAGGGGGCGGTGAGGGTGAGGGGCTGGGGGCGGGCAGCGGGGTCGCGGCGGGGCTGACCGGCGGTCCTGTCGCCCGGCAGCGGAGGCGGCGGAGCTGCGGGAGCGCCTGCGGTTGGTGAAGCACACGATCCTGGTGCTGTCCGGGAAGGGCGGCGTGGGGAAGAGCACCTTCAGCGCCCTCCTGGCCCACGGGCTGGCGGCCGACGAGGCCAAGCAGGTGGGCTGTGCGGCGCGGCGAGGGGCGGGCTGATGGCGGAGGGTCCCAGAGTGGACCCTGGTGGGTCTGGCAGCGGTGGGGCTGTGTCCCTGGGCCCCGGCCCTGCGGCACACCGGGGAGACCCGGGCAGGGCGGGTTGTGTGTGTGTGGTTGGACACCGTGATCTCAGGGGCCCTTTCCAACCGTAACGATTCTGTGGGAACAGCGGTGCTGGTCGCGTTCCCCGCCCCTTTAATGATTTGAGCTTTCGTGCTGTGTGAAGTGCGTGAGGGAGTTGTTGTTGCGTGATTTGAACCTGGGAAACGTTCCCGTGCAAGGTTGTTTCCAGTGGGGGGGTTGGTTGGTTTGTTTTCCAGGTTGCTCTGCTGGACATCGATATCTGTGGGCCATCGATCCCTAAAATGATGGGTCTAGAAGGAGAACAGGTAAGTGAAAGCTCAAATATGTTTTTTAAAGGCTTTCGGCTCAATTTTTCATTAACACTTCAGGGTCCGTGTAGGCTTAAAGCTTCTAAAGGACTGTTTATTGGGAAACGTGCTTGGCAGTGGGTAGGGAAATAAAGATGGTGAGATAGAGAATTTCAGCATAATTTAGTTTGTAAGAGTCACCTGCTTCCAGGATGACTAGTTCTGAAAATTAGCTTTTGCTGCGTATCTGCCATAAAGTCATGACTACTTAAAACTTAAGATTTAGTATGATGCTTTTTACCAGCCCTAGAATATTTTATGCAAACATATAAAGTCACGGGTAATTTCTTGTAAAAGGGTGTCACAGTTATTAGTCACTTGTTAATGGAGATCTGGCCCTTCTGCAGTTTTTAACTGAGCTGTTCCAGTAAAGCACTATTGTATGTATGGGTACCTCTTTACCCAGATTTGACTTATGTTCGTGTTTTGTGGAGCATCTATATTTATATCTAATGTAACGTTATGTATCACTTCAATTTTCAGGTTCATCAGAGTGGATCTGGGTGGTCTCCAGTGGTAAGCTGGTGGAACTGTTTCAGAAAGTTTGTGGGGTTTGGGTGCTGTCTTCTGAAGTGAAGGAGCAAGGGAGGAGCAGGGGATACTGCTATTGATTGTTTTTCTAATGACATAACTATCCAGATTCTGTAGAGTCTGGATATAGGCTATATAGGTCAGAATGTTAAATTTCTTTTGTTAATCATAAACCTTTACATTTCTAAAATAGTTTCATTATTTCAAGTATCTCTTGTTTACTCACTTTCTTACTATCCTATGGGCCATAAATACGTTAATTGATTTCATCATTTTTGTTTATCATGCAGTTGTACGGTGTGGCACCTTTCCATGGGCAGACAAAAAGTATCTTACACCCCAGAAAAAACTCATTAATCTTGATAAAATACAGGGAGAGTTTTGCAGGAGTGTTGGTTGTCTAAAGGTCGTCTTTAGCATGTACACTGTTAAAAAGACAGCTTGATGCTGAGAGGGAAGGCTGCTCTTACCCTTACACTGTCTCCAGTGAGTCTGTAAACCACTGCAAATCTTACTGCAACTGGGCTTTTTTCAGTCAGTGAATGCAGTTGGTGAGCAGTGCACAAAAACTGTAGTTTTCAATGCCCTTTGATAAAATAGAAGCATAAGGTTCTCTGCCTTTATTTTCTTAATGTCTCCCGCCCCCCTCCAACTGCTTTTTCTACAAAATCTACTCTTAGAGTTGGTCTCTCTGCTCTCTCTTTCCTGTTCTATATGCTCTACTGAGTTTCTCTACTTCTCTTCTAGTATGTTGAAGAAAACTTAGGTGTCATGTCCGTGGGGTTCTTGCTTAGTAGTCCTGATGATGCTGTCATCTGGAGAGGACCAAAAAAAAATGGTACATATCAAGTGTTCTCAACAACAGTTTATGTACTTGAAACATTTAGCATCCTGAGCTTGTTTAATTAATAACATAAATATAGTAAGCAACAGGAAAAAATAAGTGAACTTTCTTTAGTTGAACATATTTATTTGCTGAATTTAGACGGTCAAACGCTCTATTGGGTGTTTTTTTAAAGCCTTGGTAAAATAAGCATTTCTGTACTGAAGTTGACAAGTCAGAAGGATCTGCATATCTGGTCTATATTGAAGTAGACGTTAAAATTTGAAATACAGGGAGATGTTTTTTTTCTTTCTTCCACATTTTTATTCTTTCTTCTAGGGTTGATCAAACAATTTCTTCGTGATGTGGACTGGGGTGAGATCGACTACCTGATTGTAGATACACCCCCGGGAACATCGGACGAGCACTTGTCCATTGTGCAGTACCTCAGTGCGACGCACATAGACGGTGCTGTTATTATCACTACCCCACAGGTAGGAGAACTGCATTTCCACTGATAGAAGCGTGGTGACAGTTAAAGGCAATCCTTGATTTAGAGTCTATTGAGCTTCAGAGAACAATGGTACAGAATCTAAGGGAGTTGACTTCCTTGTTTTGTGCCTACAGCTGGCTGGTGTGTGAGTCAGGGGTTGTCTTGTTGGAGCAGGGGATCTGAGTGGGTCACTGAGCAGTTCACAATCAAAAGCTGCCATATGTCTGGTGAAGGGAAGTGCTTCCCTTTCACTTCCTTCCTCGAGATTAGACTTCACATCATTGCAAATTTGTAATTTATTCGCCAATGGCTTAACGTTCAGAAGTCAGTAAGAAGTTTAGTTTTTAAATGATAGGATGTGCACTGTTTGACAGCATGCCAAATAGCCTGTTGCCTCCAGTAGGCAAGTTTGTGGTGTACATTTCTAAAAGAAAAACCAGCCCCTGGAGAGCTGAAACTCAAAATATGTCATATTGAAGCGTAGGTTTTATAGCCTGGTTTGAAAGGCAGCAGGAGATCAAACTAGCAAAAGACACCTCGTATTTCCCCAACAGCTGAAAGAAGAAAATGTAGAGGAAGTGAAGCGAGGGAAGGAAAAGAGAACAGGAGAACTGAATGAGGTCAGACGTACATGTGAGAAGTCTGAGGGGATGATAAGCTGTTTGAAATTCAGTAAGGCTGGTGGTGCTTGTCCTTGCTTGCTCTATTGAGAACAGCTAGGGCCTTTGTGTAAACTGAAAATGTGAAAGTTACATTTAAAGAACTAAAGAGATTAATAGGAGATAAAACATAAATATGGTTGGGTCTTTACTAGAGTCAAGTCAGATTTCAAAACAGAACCACGTGGAGTAGATTAGAACTGCTGCACCTGTTGTAGTGCTACTCATAGAATTGTTGCTAGAGCACGTACCACAGGTTTATGTTCCTTAAAATGTGAAGAGAGCAGTAATAATTCATTATGAACTTCCTTTGAAGTAGCTCTAAGGATGTAGCTTAATGGGTCAGAACAGCGGTGTTCCCTAATATTTGTAGGAAGTGTCGCTTCAGGATGTTCGGAAGGAGATCAACTTCTGCCATAAAGTGAAACTGCCCATCATAGGTGTTGTGGAAAACATGAGTGGCTTCATATGTCCAAAGTGTAAGGTAAGGCTGCCCGTATCTTACAGCTTTTTTTTATCTCGGCTGTTTGTAGATAAAACATTGCTCCAAAGATGCCCCGTTCTCAGAATTGCAAGATTTTAACTCTAATTTTATGTTGTCCCAGAATGAATCTCAGATCTTTCCCCCAACTACTGGAGGTGCAGAGAAGATGTGCCAGAACTTGAATGTTTCCCTCCTGGGTAAAGTGCCTCTAGATCCTCAAATAGGTAATGTTACTGTATTGCACTACATTTAAAACAAGTTTTTCTTCCTGTACTGATTTTATTACTGGAAAACCCTGACTTGGACACTGATAAATTAGAACACTAAATACTTTTTCTCTTAAGTAAATACCCACTTCTAGATTGAAAAAAATGTTCTATGGAAAGTTACTGGAACTGTGACATGGCACGGTGGGAAAAGAGGAAATTGCTGGGATAACTTCCTTAGCCTGAAACTTTATCTTGATTACGATTAGATTATGCTTATTTTTAGCTGTTTAATCATATTTGAAGCACAACACGTCTTTCTCTTCAGTATAATCACTTGGAAGCACAGACTGAATATAATCATAATCACTAGGAAGAATTGTTAAACATTGAAACTACTGTTTTGACTTTGCTGTTACTGGCACCGCCCAAACTGTGTTGTGGTGAGTGAGAAGGCTTGGTTCCTTGCCCACTCACTAGGTATTAGCGATTAATACTTAATGATGTCAAAGAGAGGTCAGTACTTCAAAAATACAACTGGCAGTTTCTGCTAATAGTATTCCTTTTTAAAACTGTAAGCTGCAGTTCTGCTTGTGTTACTGACATAAGGATTTCTTCAAAGCAATAGACGCCAGGGGCTTTTTGAAAGTGTATAACTGGGAGCAGCATAAAGGGTAAAATCAAGAAAGTTTATCTTTTCCCGTTGCTTTGCTTTCATGTTTTTCCCTGTCCTTCAAGGAAAAAGCTGTGACAAAGGCCAGTCTTTCTTGTCTGAAGCACCTGAGTCTCCAGCCACGTTGTCTTACAGGAATATCATTCAAAGTAAGTCTGAAAGTCACTGTGCAAATGAGTCCTCTCCGTTCTGAGCTCTTCTGCAATACAGAAAGATGCTAAACAGAATTATGTTGCTCTGCCACAAATAACAAAACCAGTAGCTGTGCATAGCAACTCTGAAAGTAACAGATACAAATACTATGATCACTTGTCCAGGGCATCGGTTATGACAGGCTTTTAAAGTGATAACGAAACTGTATTTGCAACTCTGAAAGTAACAGATACAAATACTACGATCACTTGTTTGGGGCATCGGTTATGACAGTGATAACAAAACTGTATTCAATAACTGGTTTCACTGTTTGGCTTCAGTCATTAGCTTTCAGGACAGACGTGTGTGTACTCGCTGTCACAGGAGAGTTCTCAGATTATCACGCAGGCCTGTTGAGGGGTGCTCACCATAGCTGAGTGTGATACAGCTAGCTAATTACTGCCTTCACCTCTAACTGTAATTGCACCAAAAAACCTCACAAAAACTACCTAAAGAGCTGGTGATGTGCAGTTTAAAAATACAAATGGCTGGGAAATTCCTAAAGCCATTTTCACTGTGATAAAGGCCCAACTTGTGATATTTGTACCAGCAGGGGCAGAGCGATGCAGCAATAACTACCTTCTGATGTGCAGCTGAAACATTTACGTTACTTATTTCCCTGTCTTTGCAGGAATTCAGGAATACTGTGATCAACACCATTTCCATGAAGAAAAGATTATCTAATCTATGAATGGACTAAAAATGTAGTTCATGTTTAATTATAGAAAAGTAACTTATGCCTTGATTTAATAGAAGGAATGTATTCTTTTTGTATATTGCAAATAAATTCTTAATAAAAATGTTCTTGCCTTCGTTTTTTTCCATAGTTTGTTGTAGTTCACAGGTGGTCTCAAAGCTAGAAAGCTGTAAAACTGTGTCTCCATCTGTTACACAGGCCCAATCTGCATCTGCTGTCATGGTGCTAATAACCTGGAATAGGAACTTGGTGTTTGCAGACGTGGATACAAGGTTTTGTTTAGAAAGTTGACTATAAAATACACTTTGCTGACACTGGGGCACTGTGTCTGATGTGTCTGCTCTGCACGTGGCAGGCTTTGTCCTGCCTCCTGCACGAGGGTGAATTGTAACCGCTGCTCTCTCTTTCTGAATAATGTCATTTTGGTATCTTCCTTTTCAGTGCAAAAGATCTATATTTAGAGTGAAATTCAGTGTCATAACGTCTCTTTTTTTACAATTGGCATCAGTATTAAAATAAAAACCTACTAGAGTTTAGGCAAGTCAGTTATCTCTACGTGACGGGCTGTTTCACACAAGTTCTGTGTGAACCTGCTACGTGACTTCTGTACGTTCTTCTACTTGACCTTTAAGCCTGAACACTAAAAAATACACATTACTTAGAGGTTCTTTGTGATTGTAGTTCCTTTTTTTTATTGAGGAAACGAAGCTTTGATAAATCAGTATTGTGCACAAGAGGGAACGGCACTTTGATTTTCTTTATTGTAGCTCCACAGTTAAACAAATAGCATCGTCCTTTGATTATGTTCTAATTCTTCATTAAGATAATCCAGCAGTTTCAGGTGAGTTGGCCTATATTTTTCTTAATGAAGTGTGCTCTGTATAAACATCAGCATGGCGTTTATGCTTATACAGCCTGCTCTTTGATGAAATTTTTAAATAACAGACTCAAAACCTTTCAGAATCTAAAGACTGAAACACAAATGACACAATCATTATTTCATGCAGGTGTAATTCTATGCTTAAATATCTTCTTATGAAGAACAGCTTTCATAAATGAGTAATTTTACTTCTCATCTGTCTTGCTCTTCCTTATTTGATTATCTGGTGCTAGTCTTCCCGTGTTCTTCAGTGTGGTCTTCTGAGAGTCTCCCTGCCTGTCCTGTGGAGCGAGCACAGGGAGCGGGGCTGTGAGCGTAACCTGGCATGTGGCCATCTCTTACAAAACCCTGGGCAGAGCCTGGTGGAAGCCCCAGGGCTGGAGATGTCCCTCCCGGCTGTGCCCAGGCAGAGGCATTGGGACACCCCAGCAGACATCCCTCGGGATTTAACTTAGAGGATGTTCTTGATGGGGCTTGGGACCAGCTCAGTTGTGAGGCTTCTGCAGGCTTCCCAATACTAAGCAAAGTGACGGGGGCATGGTCCCACGAGAGGCTTGCTGGCGAGTGGGGTAGCCCTGCCAGGAGCCATATGAGGAGCCAAGACCTGGGAAGAGCGTGGTACTTCAGGGGCTGTACCTGGCACAGCAACTCAGTACTTACTGTTGGGAGCGTCCGCTGTGACAAAAAAACTTGATGTTGCTCTGCTGATGCTTTTTTGTCCCCCTAATTTGCAGTGGATGTAGCCATATAAATTAGCGGTCTGAAGGGAGATCCCGGCGATCACAAGAGCCTGTGGACAAACAACAGTTCAGCTGGGACAAACACTGCTCTCCACAGACTGTGTGCGTGGAATAGGTAAGCACACGTGTGTGTAGGTATACATACCTACATAGATAAACATACATGCTCTGAGAGGGAGATATTCCTTCCAGTAACAAAATGGCCTTTAGAGAGATCCAGTCACGTCACACTTACCTTTCTACAAAATACCTCTCACAGAGATATAATATTTTTAAGTTGTTCCATAATTTGAAAGACTTCATTACTTTCCTAAAAGCCCCTATTCAGAAAAGGACCTGTTCAACTGATTCTATAATCGTCACTTTTTTTAGGCCTGATTTGTATCTGAAGGTTTCACATGCAGATACGTAGCAAGCCCGCAGGCTTGTTTAGCTGACAAATGCCTTATTATGTACAAATAAGATCCTGGAACTTAGAGATTACAAAAAGCATCAATAGGTACAAATCAGTATCTAGCAGTAACAGGCAATGAAGATAATTAGATCCTTTTGTGGTACTACAGGCTCAGCAGCAGGCAGGACCCATCTGACTGACTAATGAAATAACTTACAAAAAATGTTTTTCTTAGCCCCAGGAGGAGTTTCCTGGAAGCCATCACATTGCATTGGTGTGACTGGCCTTTTACAAGCAGCTGAGCAACCTGCCTGCAGCGCTCGTTAGGGCTCCTTCCCCATCCAGCATCTAGTTGGCAAACAACCTCTGCTTTTCAAAAATAAAGGAGGAGCCTTGGAGAAAGACTGCGGGTTTAATTTTAACTATTGCTTGAGTAGCTGTGCCACTTTGGGCTCTAGAAATCAGTTAATGATTTCCAATTGATTCAAATCCATAACTGAATTTGCTGCTTTATTGAATAAGTGTAATCTTGGCTGTTACTGGTTATGTAGCTGCACCTGTGCAAGATTCTTTTTATTGTTTCAAACTGAATTAAGAAATTGTACTTAGCATGGCTAGGAACTCCACAAAATGAATTCTATGATGATTATCCAAGCACTTAATGTTTACAGGGGGAAATATGATTTTATAGACAAAAATATCTTAACATAATGCACTGTATGGGGTAAATTTCCTCTAGTTTTTACAAAAATGTGTAATGTTTTTCTTCATAGAATAGATGGCTTACAAATACAGTAATTACAAAATACATAGTTATGGCTCAGTTTATCAAGGTTTTAAGCACTATGACACTGGTTCTTTCAAAAGGAAATTGTACCAGAAATCTAAAAACCTTACTTTAAGAGCAAGTAACATTCAAGTCCCAAGCAGATGTGAAAACCTGAAAACCAGCACCACTGGTTCATTTTTTGTCCTCTCCTATTAGTTTCCTGTGACTGAAATAAGTTGGGGAAAAGTAAGTTGCTACTATTAAAAAGAAGTCTGTAATTTTGCCAACCACTTAAGGCTCTCGAGATGAAAGAGTTGACATCCGGTAATTTAGTGGGGCCAAAAATTACTAATCCTTTCTAAAGTACAGGAAAATCCTCCGATTTCTTGAAGCTGCTGTAATTTTTGTACTGTTGGACGATTTGGTTCAGAGACTGTTGCTAAATTAACAGACCTGAATCTTCCCTCTACTAAAACTGTCTGTCAGCTGTAGGTGTGTCAGTACCCCCCCACTTACCAGCCATTTCAGCTTCAAGGAGAACAAGGTGCTAAAGAAAAACACTGTCCAAATAACTGGACAGATAATGAGACCAAGCCAGAAGATTCGAGCTTCAGCTTCAGTTGAGGCAGCTCTTGTAGGCACCTAGAAGGAAAATTATTGAAACTACTAGTCAGAAAGATAAATTCCACAATAAATAACAAATCAGCAGAGGAGGAGGAATGGGCAAAACTACTTCTTTCTCTAGATTTCACATATTATGTGCATGGAAGGACGAGTGAATACGAAGTAGCTTATGCCAGGTTTTCTGCCTGCTGCCCTACTGGACATGGCAATATTTTATTTTCAAAATGTTCTAGTCTCTGTTCACATTTAAATGAGATAATTCTTCCTTTTGTCAATGATAGTGTGCACTAACACCACAGATTAGTGGTATTTTAAAGTCAAAGTTCTGTTACACTGGCAATTGCTTTTACACTTCAGAAATAGTAAGTTAACTTTGATATTAGATTCAAATGTTACCAAGGTCTTAGAGAAGTGTGAAAGAGAGGGCAGAATGACAAGCAGAACTTTAGTGTGAGTACTTTGCTGTTGGCAGTGGAGATTTGTGACATGATTCTCTTCACAAACCTGAACTATGGGGGGAAAAAATCAGTCCAGTATCAGAAAAGCTACAATACTGTAGAAACTGCAAAAAGCTTTTTGTTGCAAGTGCTAACAAGCAGAAAAATCCCCCCTAGGATTTATCAGTTGGTTCCAGTTCAGACAGTGGAATTCTCTTAACAGTGCCCGTTTTGATACATTTTCCTAAAAACATGCACTATCTTAGTTTAATTTAAATCTTGTGTGAAGTTAGTTCTCTATTACGTAAACTAATACTTCAGTTTTGCTTATGGAGTCCGCTGATATTGCATAAATTAAGAAATGTGGCATCAAAATTGCCTCTTCTGTAATACTAGTGTTGGACACCATAGAAACCGCTGGCATCTCTCTGAAAGAGGCATCATTATTCATGATGCTCCATGTGTGTTCTTCAGGGAGAACAAAGAAACTCAAGCAGGCTGCAAAAAGCTCTGGTTGCAGATTTCTTCCTGTCAGCACAACTCCTGTCTCTATCTACACTGAAAGGATCATTGTTAACTCCTAACACTTGGGAGAAACTGAAGAAAGATAATTGTTCAGAAGGTTCTGACCTTTCATAGAACACCAGAATTCAAAATCTCACTCCAAACCTCAGACTGCTCAACTACGACCAGTGCTACCTTCTGAAACACAAGCTTCACAACTGGAAAAGAAAAAGCTGTGGATTCTTCAACTCTGGCAACTGAAAAGCCTTTTAGTTCTTTTCCAGTATCTTGAACTCTCCATGTAAAAATAGGACTCATCCATCCATCATAAGGCAGACAATGGCATCCAACTTGTAAATATGGTTAACTCTATCCTAAGAAAACCCTGCAAGATGCAGTAATTAGAAGGTGGTTGTAATTTTTTCATGTACCCTCTAACCCAGTGATGTTGCAGAGGTGCAAAGAATGATGTTCTATGCCTTCATAGCTACAGAAAAAGACAGATGCTCTGAGTCAATAAAAAGATTTAACCACCTGCATCCCAGGTTACTGACAAATTACCCAACAGTGGCATTGTATTAGCACTAATTATTTAGGGGAAAAAAAAAAGTCAATACACCTGAGAACTCTGCACCTAAAGGACCCAGATAACTTGATGAGCAAGATTACAAAAGGCTGCAGTCATCCCAAAGAAGGGTAGAGGGGAGCTCTGATGTTTGGAATGCAAGTGTGAGAATTACTTTTCTTCCAGCAAACTGCAGCAGAAGATGGGATTTCAGGGGCAAACCTCTGTTGCATCAGCAGCAACAACAGGAATTAACTGCGTATTGTTGGTGAGTGGAATATTTCTAAGCAAATTTACCCATGAAGGAAGACATCTTAAAAAGTTGCCAGAGGGCTGGTGAAGTAGGTGGAGAATCCCTGATTCCAGAAAGTAAGAGATTTGCGTGTGTTTTAGGACCTTGCCATGACAAAGTATTTCTCGTGAATAAGCTGTGACAAAAATACAATCCACCCTAATATGTTCCTTCCTGTGGTGCTATCATTTTCACATTAACCAAGCTACCACTTGCCAGAAATTTTGGAAGGCTTTAGCCCACACAAATGAGTCAACTTTGTACTCCTCAGCTAGAATTAACAAACTGTAATAAGTGAACTGGGCTTGCTCATTTTCCAGTAATTTTGAGGTCAGAAGTTCCTATTATGGATGTCATTGCTTTTAAGTGCTAAGGAAACTCTTGCTCACTGGCTTGACTTGACAAAACTCAGAAACTCTGAGGGTCTTCTCAATTCTTTGCTTTCACATAGGATTGCCCATATTCTCTCTTTAGGTGGCACTTAGATGACAGGAAGAATGTTAACTTCTGTTGTCCTGTTCTGGCTGCAGAGGGTGGTGGGGCTGCTAGAGGGCACCCCGGCACCGCACACTGCGGGTGTTTCACCCCTGGGTCAGTCCCCAGGCCCTGCCCAGCTGGATGGGCTCGAAAAGGGTGTCCTAGTGAGCAGCCTCAAGCCTGGCTCTGCCCCTGAACGGGGCTGTGGAGAGAATGTTAGCAAGTGAAAGCAAAAGCCTGCAGTCTTGGCTCTGGAAACGATGCCAAGAGCCATTTTATAGCTTGCTTTGCTATATTTGGGGAGCTCTAGCAGTATCACAAAGCTCTGTGATCCAAGTTCTATTCCTCAAGCATGAATAAAACATTCATATTAAAATACTGAATTTGAACTATTCAGCATTGCTTTCAACATAGATCTTTCCTGAAGAGGATTCTGCATTGGGATTAACTATGGGAAGATGTGTTTATTAGAAGATGTTCTCACTAGAAAATAAAATAGAACTATGAGAAATCTTTCATACCTATAGTACCATGCTATGAATATTTATTCTGCTGATGCATATGACAACGATGTTGTGAGACCAGTTTTGTTCTGAATGCTTCCAGGATATGACAGTCCAGTGTGTTTGCAACTGAATATTTACATTGTCTTCTATAGAAGCTGGATGAAAAGTAACTGTTACAAAGGTGTTCTATTTGTTACTTCTTTATTTGACTTAGCATCAGCTTCACAAGCTTTCCTATGGATTCTGTTTGTCCTACTTCTTAGCATACTTACCCTTCTTGCTTCAAACACCCAGTGGCTTTTCCCGTCTTCATCAATCTGGTTCCACCAACGCAAACCAACCAAGAGTCTTCCTGTCACATTCTAGTGACGGAAACAATTATTTGCATTAACCAGTTGTATAATTCACTTGTCAGACTGACATTTGAAAAAAGACAAGCATGTCTGAAAATCATATTCTTTTATCAAATAGTAAAATCAGTTCAAAAAGCTGTGCCAGCTTGAGCACAACAGCCATAAAGGACGGATGAGTTACCATAAATTTAGAGGCGTGTTCTCTTCTAATATGGTAATTAGCACAATAACATTGATTTAGGTAAGAAATTATAGAATGTATCTTTTCTAAGTCAGTCAGTTGGAGAAGCACCCAATAAACAAATTTCTTTAGTAAGAGAGGAGAAATGTGAACAAAAACACTGAGAAAATGCAATATTAATGATAAGCAAGTAAGCTGCACGGAATCAAGCAAACAAATTAAGAAAATATTTCTGCACCTGGATGAGTATTAGTTTTCAGTATACTGAGGCCACAACAGAGCAAAAGCCTTGTTCCACATGTGGAACCCCTGGGATTCTGGGCACTGGTGCCACAGCAGGGCTCCCAGGAACCTTCCGCAGCTCCTGTGCGCTGGGGCTGGGCACAGCACTGCAGCCTTGGGCATCCTTTGGCATCCACTACTGAAAGGCACTAGTATTTTATCTTGAAGTTTTTTGGTTTTTTTACCAGGGTAAGCATACAAACAAATCTACCTATGGCAGGGCAATTTTCTGACCACGTTAATAGCTTCCATCACCCATAGAGAACACGGTGATAAAAAGTAACTAAGATATGCAAATTTCTTAATTTATGTGGGCTAGATATTTAATAAATCAACAGATAACATTTTTGTTACTGTTGTCACCATATATATTTCCTTTTTTGTTTTATTTGATGGCACACAAAATACTTTCAAAAGTAATTACTACTCAGGGTCATCTTACCTTAACTGACCAAAAGTCAAAGGATAGAAGGAGCAGAATAGTGACAAAACAGGCAACAAAGCTGTTGCTGAACCAGTCACAGAACAAGTAGGTAATAATAGCACTCACTCGGAAAAACAGGTGGAAAAAGGTGGCCAGTGGGTGCCTAGAAAAAAAGAAAATAAAAAAGAAAACACAGAGCACTTAGTAAGCTATGGGACAGAAAGGAATGTAACAGTATTTGCTAACTATGGAGTATAACACAACTATTTCTAGTCTGGTATTTTGGTTTGTAGCTGCTATTATTTCATACATTGATGCGTGTCTTCATTACCAAAGCAATAATATTTCCAGGAGCCAACCTCCAATCTAAAGCTAAAAGATGGAATATGTTGTTCATGTCAAAACTTTCTCAAAGACAGAACAAAATCTAGAGTCTTTCACCAATTTCTTTGGTACTGCATGAAGGAATCTAGTCGTTGTGTTCAACGCTGCACCCTAAAATCCTTGTTTTTTCGTTAAACAAATCAGCATAGCAAGGCACAACAGAATTGAGATGGATCTGATGCCTTTCAGAACTGTTTTGAAAAGAAGAACAGGAACTCTGAAACTAAAAAAAAAATATGTAACTGTTGGTTATAAGACAAAACAAACCTTCATGTGTAATGTCTGAAACCAAACACTTCCTTTTATGGAGGGAGGATGACATGGGAATCTAACAGTTCTTATGAATGAATGTTCATTAATTTCACTAGATATTTGTGCTTTACACATAAAACAAAAATTTTGCCTGTAACAAAATAAAGGCGAATTTCAGTGAAAGAACTATACGGCATGGAATATTGGCCTGCACAGTAATCCAGGGGCTTCAGAGGGTGTTATAATGAGCACAGTACAATCTTCAGGGTAATATGCCAGGTACAAAAACTTACTCTGCACAGTTCTGTTTGTGTTAGTTGGTTTAAATTTACAATTAACTAGAGGCTATTGCATTTAAATAACTTATTATATTGAAGCCAAATGAATAAAACTTTCTGAATAATTATTTTTAAGTCAGCAATTGTCTCATTAAGCTCCTCTAGCTCTCTAAACAATTAACAGTAGTATGGCCTAGGTCATAATTAACTATTCAACTATTAAATTTTTTATTCTGTTACTGTGTATAACAAAATGATACATATAACATATATACAATTATAATTGTGTATTACAAGCTTACATTATAAATTATAATCTAAATTATAACAGTTATATTTATATCTTTATTGTAATGCTATTATTCTATAGCTGTTTAACTGTTCTAGTAATTACCTTTTCTATAATGGCAATCCTGTGCTGGTAGTACTACACACACACATGACTGGTGAGGCAAGAATGATACACAGCTGTAGTTTATATTTACTCCTGATCATGCCTGTGCTAACCTCAAACTTTCCAAAAGCTACTTCTGACTTAAAACTAAACATGTGACATTTTAAGCAAAAGGAGCTTTTTCTGCCGTGAGCAGGTGGGTGGGTGAAGTAGAGGGAATATTCTGAACTGTCAAAAAACAGATAGTGTCTTGCTACTTCAAGTCTTGATCTCATTTGAGAAGACGTAAGGGTTCACTTGCTTAAGTGGTATCTTTATCAATAGAAGCTATTCATAGATCACAACCCTAAAGCGCATCAGGGTGGACTGGGCTTTGATAACCATATCGGGGCTTCAAATGTGAAAGTAAATTCAGAGAAGTAGTGTTTCATTTTGGAAGTCAGATGATGTATGACTGTGTGGATGCTGAATGTGTTCCAATATCAAACCTTGAAGGGTTTTTACTAAAAACAGTACATGAGCTAGAGGCTCACATTTAGTACAGCACGAAACACTTCACTGACAGTATGGACTACCAGTCCTCTTAAAAGGATATGGCTAGTCAAACCAGAGACACCCACTTGCAGGTTCTTGTCTCAGGGGAGGAATATGAAGATATATCAAAACTTGCACCTCTTTCTTTGGACAATTCTCTCACTCTCAGAAAATGTCCACCTTTAAAAAATGAATAATCCTGAAACTAACAATCCAGTAAGTAAACAGGTCACTTCCTCACTTAACAGAACAAATGTGTTTTTCTTAATTCACAGTACCAGATGAAATTTGTAGCTCCTATCATATAAGAACAGATATTTTTTTATAAGCAGATATTCCCAGATAGATAAAATTGTCTTTTAAAACTTGAAAATAAACTGTGTCCTTTCTGAAACAAAAAAAAAACTGTACAGTTTTTAAGTGAATGCAAATACATTGAATTCAATTGCACTTTATAAACTTTTTTTAAAAGCTAATTTCCAGAAATATGATGGCAGTAAGAAATCACTGTATAAAGTAACATGATTTTTTGAACAGTGTAGCCTTTAAAACATGATAACTTTTCCTTTTTTTGCATTCAAGTCCAATAAAGGATAAAGGTAACTAAAACTCTGTAGTGGTTCTGCTTGGCATGCATTTGCTTCTAAAAGCACAGCAACCCACTTGCTTGGACTTACCCTGTTGCATCTAAACATCCATACTGTATAGAACTGGAGCACTGAGGCTAAACAATTCCCATTTACCTCGTTATCCCATTTAACCTCTGTTCAGTTTGCAAGCGTGATGCCTATTAGGATAGGAATGGGCTCTTATGAATTTAGTTGCACCCATATTAAGGAATCAAATTGGGTCAACCCTAAGGTACCACCAAACTACAGGAGAATTGTTCCCAGTACCTGCTCAGAAGTGCCCTGGAACCACTCGACATGCTGCTTGTTATACCTCTGTCTGGTACTTCAAATATATTTAGACAAAACTTGAGCAAACAGGCTCTCTGACTTGATCATCTTGTGTTACCTGGCTGATTTGAAAAAGTGACCATATGTTCCTGTTACAGATCAGATGTTCTGATACTGCAATGAACTGCAAAGATGCTGTAAGTTATCTTTTTCCTGGCCTTCTTATGAAAGTAGCCACTTACTAAATCACTATCCACATTCGTTTTATTTTTAAGGAGTATTTGCATGTAACTTGGAGAATCACCAAAGCACAACTTGTTGTAGCTCATGAAAATTCCAACCAAGTTCAAGGTATATGAACTTGGGATATAGTTAAAGACAAATGATTGGAACATCCTGTTGATCCCTTTAAGACAACAGCATTTTGCAGTACGTGGGTGTGTTCCAGGCTTGTTTGCACAAAATTCTTTAGAAATACAAAACCAGACTTCTGCATGAACGATGTGAGGAGTTTCATTTCTGTATTCTATAGCAGAAGATTTCTTAGTATGAGATTTTCTTTTAGTATTGTCACAATGAGAGCAAATAAAAAGAAAGTTTCTAATGAAATAAGTATCTACACAAAGTCGATCAATTAATAGTACGGTTCACTGACACCTTGCCTGTCTATATTATCGGGTAGTGTGAACAAGTAGGATCTGGTCTTGAGAGTAAAGTAACTGGTGCTGTGGACCTGCTACAAACATTTCAGGGTGGTTTCACTTCATGCAAACTCTAGTCTGGTCCCATAGGCTGAATCTGTAGCTTGTGTTCCCAAGGTGTGCTCTTAAACTGTATTTCCCAGTTTAGTGTAATCCTTTAGACTATGGTCCCTAAGACTGCACCAAAATATAAAACTTCATTTAAGGCGTGTGCTGCTGCTGAAGCATAGAAGCAAGGCAACTCTGAGAATGTTAATATTGTATTATGGCTGCTTATCATGTAGTTGTAAAGTTGGATGCACTTGAAAGGCAAAAATGCTTTACAGACACTAATAAAACAGAGTAATTATATTGTAAACCTATGTGATTGCTTGTTTGCACATCTCAGATAACATTCATGTTAGGTTTAACATCTCTTCCCTTCCTTTGTTTACACCTACCAGAAATACTAACATTCTAATAGGCCGGAATAAACTGCGGCAAGGTGCAAGGGAAGAAAGCAATGAAAATCAAAGCTGGTTACACACACTACTGACAAGTGTATGTACACGTATAATTCCCCTTGACACAAAACTTCCCCTTGATGGTCTTTGACCGGAGATTCCTCAAAAGCCACTAATAGAACAACGTCTCTGTCACCTGGGCCTCGGTGAGGACAGAGCTGCTGAGTGATGCTCTGGCACCGTGACGGCAGACTGCTTCACCTGACAGATGGATCGATGGGGGGCTTTGCTTGGGTAACTGCTACAAGGACAAGATATCCTACATCCCACGTACTTCCGACCGCATCCCATGCTATGAAAACATGACTGTTTTATTGCAAATAACTTGCCGTTTCCCTTCAGCCAGGTGCACAGTACAATGCCAGGCCTCTCTGCTGCACAGCCTGATCTGGGGAAGATGAGAGCTCTCTCCAGCTCTAGTAAAAACAGCGATTAATTGTTTTGGGGTGGTTTTTTTGTTTTTTTTTTTACGTGTGTGATATGTTGGCTTCGGGTAAAATTCCGGGTTCCGAGGGCAGGCCGGGGCCGAGCGGGCAGCGCCACAGCAGGGCCTCCCTCCCCGGCTCCGGCCCGGCGCTATCCCCCGGCACCCAGCGGCTCCCCGGGCACCCTGGTCCAGCGCTCCACCGCCCTCCCTGTAAAAAACGGGAATTAGGTGTTTAAATGGAGCTTGTATTTCGGCGCGTCAGTCCCGCTGGAGCATCAGGGCTGCCCCGGCTCGGTACCTCAGGCGGGCGACCCGCGGCGGGGCCGGGCCCGCTCGGCTCCCGCACCGTTACCTGATCTTTGCTTTCCGCAGCGCCAGCTCCTCCTCGCTGCCGAAGTCGAGGGACACATCCTCGGTATCGTCCACCAGCGCCTGCGGCGGGGAGCCAGCCCGTCAGCGGGGAGGGACGGGGGGGAGCCGCGCCGCCGCCCCCCGCCCCGCACCGCCGGCGCCTCTACCTGCTTCATCCTGCGCCTCGGCCGGCCCGGCCCCGCAGCCCGGTTACCAGGCGCGATGGTTGCCAGGGCCCAGGAGGTGTTTCAGGGAAAAGGGTCCGGGCTGCCGCCTGCCCGGGGCCAGACGGCGGCGAGGCCGGGGCCCGGGGCTCCCCGTCACCCGGAGGCCGCGCCTGAGGGCTGGACCACCCCGGTTAAAGTGGCGCTGGGGCCGGTGGGGGGACCGACCGTCTCCCCTGCTCCCGTGTGGCTGAGGTGCTTTCAGCTGCCCCGCGTCTCCCCATCGCCTCAAGGCTCGGGCTGAGGTGCTTTCAGCTGCCCCGCGTCTCAAGGCTCCCCGAGCCTCAAGGCTCTGGCGAGGCCGGGGCCCGGGGCTCCCCGTCACCCGGAGGCCGCGCCTGAGGGCTGGACCACCCCGGTTAAAGTGGCGCTGGGGCCGGTGGGGGGACCGACCGTCTCCCCTGCTCCCGTGTGGCTGAGGTGCTTTCAGCTGCCCCGCGTCTCCCCATCGCCTCAAGGCTCGCAGCCTTCGCCCGCGCCAGGGCGGCCCGACGGGTCTTGTCAGGGGTCCGGGCTGCGGGCCTGAGGGGCCAGAGCCTGCCTCAGCCCTCTCAAGATGGCGGCTCCGGGGGCGAGGGCGGCTGGCTCAGCAGGCACACCCACCCCGACGGGGCTTCTTCGGCCTCCTGATGAAGATAAACCCCAAAAGGAAAAAGTAGTGGAGAGAAAGGTGAAGATAACGTATGTATACGATACACCCTTACCTGTTGGAGGAGACACCAACAGTCTGTTGTCCTGTCAGTGCCAGGCTGAGGCCTGAGTGTTGTCCCCCCAAAGTGGGCCCTGAGCCCCTGTCACCGTACGGCTTCTGGGGGGCAACCCATACAACAATAGTACTGCCCATGTTCTACTAGTGAAACGTAGGTAACTCAGCCCTTTAGTTAAAGATTTCTCCTGCTTTTGTTCAAATTGCAGATGGATTATGCAACAGAGTTAAGCAAGTATGAAGGTGAAATGGGACAACTGAGCTTCAGGATACGGGTAAGGAATCGAATTGAGTCAACCCAAGGAAGGCAAAGCAGATAAGACATTGCGAAGGAAGAAAAGACCTTGGGCAATCAAAGAAAACAAGCCTCTTGTATCAGCTTGTAGATAGCAAAAAGACACAAGGAATCTAACTAGGGAAAACTGGGGCGTTCCATTAAAACTGCAAGGTTGCTGGTTGTTACAAAATAAAAAGTATGCATCCTTCAAGTGATTTAGCTCATTATAGTGTGAAAATCTTAGCTCATTATAATGTGAAAATCCCACCTCCAAATCTTAAGCTATAGACATCCTAGATGAAACCCCTACTCATTGAGCATACATAGTGATTTATGAATGTACTATATCTTTAATTTGAAGCAAAAATATGAGTAGCTAATAGGAACTTGTTGTGAAATCATGAGCCACCAATGAGAAGTACAGTATACCAATTAGTTGATTTTTAGAAATTATAAAAGCTTTCAATATATAAGCCAAGGTGTGCTAGGTTTGTGGAGTTTTCACATAGCACCCATCTCTGCACAGATAAAAAATAAATATCTCAGCTCTGTGTGGATCGGTTCTTTGCACACCTGTAAATTTGGGACAACAGTTTCCCAATAATGAGGGGAAATAGTCCAATCAGCTAAGTATGAAGTGGAGGATCAAGGAACATCTGATAAATTACAGTCATTTGTAGATCTGAATAGCTACTAGCACTAAATAAGCCTGCAAAATAGTAACTTCCTAGTCTTTTCTAAAATATCTAACTAAACCAGAATGTATCTATTGACTAAGTACAGAAGTTACTAAGGTGAACATTTCAAAAACATTAATTGATAAGTAACTTTGTACAAGGCCTGTTATTAGAGCAAGACAATACCTAATGCGTCAGAAAAACTGGTAAATCCCTAGTAGGATTTGTAATTGTAGAGAGGGAAAGGTGTATTTTATGACTAATAATGTTAATATTGTGGTACTCATTTTTTTTGGCCTCAGTAGTGATAAACCAACACTTTATAGTGTGTCAGTAAGTACAGCAGACTTGCACTAAAAAGCTGAATAGGCAGTCTGTAATTTGATGGTATGGCTCACGATAGCTTACAATATTAAAATATTTAAATAGGCTTTCACTCCCAAAGAAGATATAAAGTCTTTGAGAGCTGTCATGAGATACAATTAGTAAATAATTATGTGCATACCTGAAGCTGACCTCTGCTTCATTTACTGTACCAACATGCACCGCTGCTTACGAGCAACACATTAACAATAACTCAAATAGAACAGGCTTCTGACTCAGAAGCAGCTCCCGGAACCACACTGGCGGAAGCATTAAGGGCGGTCCCGCATCTTCTTGACTGCCAGATTATTCATTTTGGATACTGTACCAGCTCTTTCCCCTCTCAGCACAGTTCTGTCAGCAAGTCTTTGAATTTAGTAATTCTGTAATGTTGCTGTAGTCTTTGAATTTAGTAATTCTGTAATGTTGCTGTATTGTCTGAGCTGTTGCATTTTTGTTCTGAGGCACCAGAAAGTAACTTTGTGCTCTATTCCTCATCAGACAAAACAGTACTTGCTTCTATGGGAGAGGTGAGAATTAGGCTGTCACAACATTTTGTATCTGATTGACTACTTTGGTTCTGCTAACTGATCTCATTAGAGATGAAATTGTGTAACTAAAAAAGAAACAGAACCTGTGTTATGTTTTTTAATTTTAAAACAGATAAATGTTTCTTTGATCTTCCCTCCTTCCGGTGCTTGTCTCTACTGATTCACTGCAAGGATTATCTGTTTTCCTAATGAAGTCTATTAAACAATCCCACAGAAGACTATCACTATACCATGCAAATGCTTTTAGTAACATTCTCTAGAAAGCTGTGTCAAATTACATTGTGTGATTATTCAAGGTATTGTATGAGTTATCATTTTCTTTTAGAGCAAGTTAGGAGCTAGAAAGAATCCTTGATGACTAGAAGAATTGTTGGTCAAACCAAGAATTTCTTAATTTTGGGATTATTAGAAAAGCATCCTTCTTTGTTTTAAAATAAATAGATCCAAGCAAAATCTTGTTAGAAGTTTCCAGAGTTTGCTAGGATTTCATAGAACAAACTGTCCTATTTTAAACACCTTTTAGTTTTTCTTCTGATTTAACTACAAATTGTTGGAACATTGGCAAGATTGGCAACACACTAAAGGTGTTGTAAGGCTTCAAATACTGCTTCAACAGCACAAAATTCGAAGATAGTTGCACTGAATTTGTGAATTTTGGTTTGGTTTTCAGGTTTGCATACAGGAAAACCTTGGCCATTTATGAAATATCTTAATATTTCATTTAATTGCTGACTGAAACACATAGCATAAATTAGTTTGAAACTGTAGAATTTTCTGCTGTTACTGTACAGCCAGTCCTCTTCCCCAGACTAATAATGGCTGTGCTATCATAGAGCACTATCAACGCCAAGGTCTTGGTACAAATAACGGAGAAATATGTCTTGCTCTCTGTTTCAACAATGAATAGAATCTCCTCTACAGCAAATATGGTATTTTATTCATGCGATTAGCATGAAGTCAGCTGATTTCTCTTTTTCTTTGGACAGTTGCCCGGAATCTTGAACTGGCACAGCATTAGAGACTCGCACTGTAAATTGCACAAGGGTATCCTTGTGCAATTTAAATGATTCAAGGTTATTCAAGGATTGGACCATCTCCCTTATGAAGAAAGGCTGAGAGAGCTGGGACTCTTTAGTCTGGAGAAGAGAAGGCTGAGGGGAGACCTTATCAATGCCTATAAGTACCTAAAGGGTGATTTGAAGGAGGAGGGACCCAGATTCTTTTCAGCGGTTGCCAGTGAGAGGACGAGGGGTAACAGGCATAAGTTGGAACATAGGAGGTTCCACTCAAATATGAGAAAAAATTATTTCACGATGAGTGTGCCAGAGCCTTGGAACAGGCTGCCCAGGGAGGTTGTGGAGTCCCCTTCTTTGGAGATTTTCAAGACCCACCTGGATGCAGTCCTGAGAATCATGGTCTAGCTCTAGGCAATCCCGCTTCAGCGGGGGAGTTGGACTAGATGATCTCTATGGTCCCTTCCAACTCTAAAAATTCAGTGAAATTCAGTGAAATCCTGAACAACTCAACAGTTGTTGCTCTGGCTTCAGTATCTCAGTGTGTTTACAGTTAAGTATTCTGTTCCTCTGAATATTTGAAAATATTGTTAATTCAAGAGTAACTCTTGCCTCTCACATTAGATACGCTTAACTGGGTTTGTTGGAGGTTCAAGGAAGTGTTTAAATTTTGAGGAGATAGCCCAGATTAGAGAAGGTATTAAATACATAACTAAAAGTGTCACCTTCTAATTAATTTGTAAAAGATGATTTCCTGTTTTGGCCCAGAAACAATTTCTGTGGAATTTTTTGGCTGTACGGACCTGAGCTGTTGTAGTTGGCAGATTTGTATTAACAGGTGAGAAGCCGCAGCATTTACTTGACAGATGAGGATAGTGTCTTTTAGTTGGGTGATATGGAGCAATATGTTCTCAGTAGAGATCAGGTTCTGCCATCAGTAAGAAATGGGTAACCAAAAGATATGTCAAAGCTGAAGAGGCTTGGGCCCTAAATATAAATGGAGATTAAAAAAAACCCAAACAACTTGAATGAAGGATCAATACAGACTTATGTCTAAAAAGATAAAAAATAATTTTTTAGTACCTCGAGTATAAATACCCATTATGGCACTGTAACTGCTTATGATTCTAAAAAGCGTGGTAGTGTCTGTATTCCTTTCAGTTAGGAAAAAATCAAGAAAACATTACATATTTTTCTGAAATAGCTTATTTTCTCCTCTGTATTCACTGTATGGCTTTAGGCCTGATTTAAGTCGTGCTATAGGAATCTGTAGTGTGGTTGCCTGGGAGACAAAAAGCTCTGTGATTATTAATGAGTTTACTTCAGTATCTTTCTCTGTTGAGACTATGCAGTGGTCACTTAGAAACAGCCCAAACAAAAGCAGACCAAAGCGCAGCCATCAGCTCTCGGCCAGCTCGGGGTGTGTTGCTTCCCGGGGCTTGGCTGCAGATTTCTTGGTGTGCTTAGCTTTATGTATCTTCTGGGATGTTCAAAGCTTCAGTCATTCTTAGCTGCAGTTCTTGATACTTGTTACTTCTGCAAATTATTTCTTATTACTCAATTTGGGAACTCCAAAAATAAGGAACTTGGGCCATTTGGACACCT